TGTAAATTGGCCAGATATCTTTTAGTATTCATAAGTATTAACACAAAAAGGATGCTCTAGTTTTGCACTATATTCAGAATGGGCTTATCAGTTAGGTAACCCTACTAATAAATCCAGAAATGAGTTAACAGGTGTGGCAGCCAGTCTCTGAAATGGCCCCCAATGATCCTGACATTTCCTGTTACACACACTTGTGTCACCTCCCACATCCTAGGGTTGCTATGTGTGACCAACCGCACACAGCAAAAGCAATGGTATAGCACTTTCGAGATAAGGTTATAAAGAGTACAGCTTCTATCCTGGTTCTCTCTCTGATCACTCCCTCTGGATGAAGCCAACTGCCATGCCACGGCAACTCAGGGAGCCTATGGACAGGCCCACGTGGCACAGAACTGAAGTCTCAGGCCAATATCAGTGAGGAAGTGAGACTTGCCAGCAGCCATGAGTGCGCCGGGAAGAGGATCCTCAAGCCCCAGATGCCTGTAGCTCTTGCTGACAGCTCCACTTCAAGAGACCCTGAGCCAAAAGCATCCAGCTAAGCCACTCCCAGATTGCTGAGAAACAATAAATGCTTTTGTTTCTAAGGTACTAAGTTTGGGGGTCATTTGTTACATGATAATAGAAACAGGAATATCACAATATAAGAGCTAATTATAATTAAGAGAAATGCTCTTAAATTCAAAAGCTTCAGAACTAAATTATATTAAGACTTCATTAAGATTATAACTGCACTGCCCTGAAGGGTCTGGCTCAGTGGATATAGGATCGGCCTGAGGACTAAAGGGTCCCAGGTTCGATTCCGGCCAAGGGTATGTACCTTGGTTGCAGGTACATCCCCAGTAGGGGATGTGCAGGAGGCAGCTGAATCGATGTTTCTCTCTCATTGATGTTTCTATCTCTCTATTCCTCTCCCTTCCTCTCTGTAAAAAATCAATAAAATATATATTTAAAAAAGATTATAACTGCACAAAAGGAGACTATTTATATACATAAAAGGCTAAGCAACCATCCAACTGTCCAGTACCTATGATGCGCACTGACCACCAGGGGGCAGATGCTCAACGCAGGAGCAGCTGAGCTGCGGGGACCTGGCAGCAGCAGAACTTTGCAGAGTGCCCTCTCGCACTCCAGGACCCCGCGGGGAATGTCAGAGAGCTGGTTTCAGCCGAATCCCCCGCAGGCCAAGCAGAGGGGCGCCACCTGCCAGAGGGACCCCACTCACTCCCCAGGAGATTGGCAGTTGGGTTTCTGGCCCATCTCGCCCAGTCACGCCCCGCCGGCTACCTTCTAATTAATGTCCTTTCAATGTGCACAAATCCATGCACGGGGTCACTAGTGTATCATATAACATCTTAGTTTCAAAATGAAATTCAACAGTGTGGTGATTTCCGGAAAAGGGGAAAGGGGTGTGAAAGAGGATATAGGAAGGATAAATGAGGATGGAAGAGAAGTAAAAAAAAGTCAATAAAATTCCATTAAAGTTAAAAAACTGAAATTCAAATCTACCATTTTCTTAATTTTATAGGTTACCAGATCGTATCTTGAATACTTTACTATGAAGTAATATTTCCAGTATATGCTGCTCTATGGAATACTGCTTCCTCAAGAAAGTTAAGAGCTTGTTTCTGAAAAATTGATCCCATGTTCAAATAAACTTGGGAAATAAATAGTATATATCTGAGAAAAAGGTATTATGGAAATAATAAAACTTGAAACAGCCTTTGCCTAATGGGCCAGGGAATAAGAACAAGTTTTTAATTTAATCTAGATGGGGTCATCTAGATTTATAGAGAAGGCAAAGTCCTAAAATTTGGTTTTTCAGATAAAAATTAAGTCATTATTTTTATGCATTCATTGGTTGCTTTTTTTTATTTATTGTTGACAGTATCACAGATGTCCACCATTTTTCCCTCCTCTGCCCCACTCCGCCCAGCCCCCTCATTAAGATCTTTTTAACCCTCACCCGTGTGGCTCAATTGGTTGCAGTGGAGCCCCCACACACCAAAAGGTGACCAGATCAATTCCCAATCAGGGCACATACTCAGATTGTGGGTTCGATCCCAGGTCTGGGCACCTGCCAGAAGCAACCAATTGATGTTTTTCTTTTTCTCTCCCTCTCCCTTCCTCTCTCTCAAATGAATAAAAACATATCCTCCAAAAAAAAGGGCACAAAACACCATATCCTCAAGTGAGGATTTTTTTTTAATGATTGTTTAATACTGATTATATATTGAAATAACATTTTGGAAATCCTGGGTTAAATAAGATGCCTATCAGTCATTAAAACTAATGTCACCTGCTTCTTTTCACTTTTTTATCACGGGAACACTAAATGATTTTAAATTATATACGTGACTCACATTATATCTCTGTTGGACAGTGCTGCTGCCCAGTGTGAGTGAGTAATTCTAAATAAGCCAGGAGGTAAGATGACCTGATTAGTACCTGTCTGGAGTCACAGGGCCTGTGTAAATCTCTCCCACATGTAAGACCGGGCATGTCAGCTCTGCCTCCGCGTCCTCAAATGTGCAATGAGGACACCACTACCTGCCCCATGGAGCTCCTAAGGACGAAAGCTTCGGAAAACAGGTATCGGGTACTGGCATTATTACTTATTCACCACGCAGGAGCGCGCACACACGCCTCTCAAAGCCTCAAGAATGTAGGGCACTTGGCTGTTCCTGTTGACTCAGTGCAGCCCCGGAGGAGCTGGCCACAGCGCAGGCCGAAGGGGCCCGAGGGCTCCCAAAAGCTGTGCGGACCCCTCCCTCCCCTTCCAATACTAACTAAAGGGGAACCTACAGGCCCTACCCGCCCGGAGGGTGGCCCGGCAGGTGCCTGCACGCGGTTATGGCTCCGCTCAGCTCACAGGTCCCCACAACCACATCCCCACCATCGCTGCGTCCACGTGCACAGCCGCGCTGCATGAGGCCCTCGCTTCACACACTTCCCTAGGTCCGTTTGCGAAGTACAGATGAAGGCACTGGATAATCATACCTGGGGTTTTGTTACACCAATTTTTCCCCCCTAATAAAGACTAAGCTGAAGCGGTTCTCAACCTGTGGGTCGCGACCCCTTCGGTGGTCGAACGACCCTTCTTCCACAGGGGTCGCCTAAGACCATCCTGCATATCAGATATTTACATGACGATTCATCACAGTAGCAACATGACAGTGATGAAGTAGCCACGAAAATAACTTTATGGTTGGGTCACAACAGGAGGAACTGTATTTCAAGGGCCAGAAGGTTCGGAACCACTGCAGTCTAAAGCTGTAAAAAATCAGGTACCTCCTCAATAAAAGACACATTTCTACTAATGATTTAATTTCGATCTGAAACACCAAATTTTAGGGCTTTCCCTTCCCTATACATCTAGATGACTCCATCTAGAGTCTAGATTCTAGACTCAATGAACCATTTCTCCTTCCTCCCTGGCCCATTAGGCAGAGGCTGTGTCAAGTTCTATTATTTCCATAACACTTTTTTTATTTTCTGGTGAAGTAAAACATGATATAGGAATATAAGAAAAAGTTTAAGTTTTCGAAGAAAAATAAAAACAAAATAAGCAAACAGGGGCTTAGAAAGAAAGAGAGGCGCCTCGCTGCTGTTCACAGCCAGTCCCCCCGCGTGCCGTCTGACAGCCGG